GAAAAACATGCATCACTGGGAAAAGCCCGCATCAAGCAAAAGCGCTTTTTCAGCCAAAAAGCACTTTTTTTTGAAAGAGCGCAAAAAAAGCACACCTTGGAGGATCCAGGTATTATTTTTATTCACGTGGAACCCCACCATCAGTTCATTCGAGGAATCTCCTTTTGGGGGGCCGGGCCCCTTTTTTGGGGAGGTTCCATGAACAATTTGTAGAGCTGATTGCAGCAAGGTTTCCTTGAAGCCATTCGCTGTTTTCATTGCGGGGGTTCCATGCGTTTTGGCCCGACGCTCATATTTGTTTTTGTGGCTCGCCATACCCTTTTGGGCTTTTAACAAGAAACCGAAAGTCAAACCATAATCTCGGGGTCCCCTATTTCGACACACATAACCCATTGGGCTGCTCCTTGTGCCAAAAGAACAAAACTCTCCGGACCAAATGGCCTGATTGTGCAAAAGACTAGGTCCTCCAGTAGAGAGGTTAGGGTTTAGGGCACCAGCTTTTCTCTGTAGTCTACTTTAGTAGCGGAACCCTCACCAACAAAGTGGGTCAACATGCGCACCTATTGCTGCAAAAACCTAGAAGACTTCCCGGAGACAACGAGCCTCGCCTCCACAACTTGAAGTGGGAGCTGCGAAAAACGCGTGTCTTCTATACAAAAGGGCCCAAAAACGATGGGCTTCCTGGCGGTTTCAATTTTCAACCACCCCCAAGAAGGGTAATTGCCATCAATACAAGACTCCCCCAGAACATGACATTTTAGCAATCAACCAAAAGGAAAAAAGACATGAAATACAAACCAGTGTGCCTGAAACAAATCTAGGACACCCCAAAAAAATGGCGGCTCTCTCTTTGGTCTCCCTTTCAACCTCGAAAGGTACAAAAACAAAACACAGATCTCGTCCTTGAACGTAACTCAAGCTGCGAAACACATGAGTTGCAGCACGGTCCCCAGACTTGCGCTTCGTTTCGCAGGAAAACAATCCAACATGAGTCGCACTGGTTTCCCTTGGAGGCATCCATCTCCCTCGTAGCCAGGAGGGAATCTGCTGCATGATCTAAGAAGCTGCTCCAAAACAAGCTGCTTCACTTGGGCATGGGTTTTAAAAAAACATACACAACAAACAAAAACAAAAACACCAGACCGGTAAGATTGAAACGCTTCACTTGGATATTTGGTCAAAAAACAACAAAAACAAAACAACGCCACCGACCGCAGATTCCAAAGGATCCTTGGCTCCCTCCATTTACCCGGGCAACCCCATCTTTGAAGGTTGCCCTATCAGGGATCCTTACATTATACGTTTCCCTTTATTATGGTGTTGAAATGTCCATGTTTCAAATGGTTGCAACATGTATCTTTTAAGGAGCCCTGCCTATGTTTGGCCCCTTCGCTACTTGACCTTATTGCCTTGGATCGTTGGATGAATCTCCGGATAACGGGTCCCGTCCTGCATCGCGTCGAGGTTGCCCTGCCCGCATCAGCTCATTCGTCGACGATCAACACAAGAGCGTGAGGGGACCTATAAACACCACTTTAAAGTGGGAATCTTGAAAGTCCAGGTGTATAGACGCTCTCTCGTTTTATCATAACTGGGACATTTTCCGCAAGATCGTCCATGGCCCCCAGAATCGAACACGATCGACATATTCACCTGACGACTTGACATGGGGTAAAAAAAACATATTGCAGCCCGCCACCGGTCTGGAAACCGCCAAATCGCGAACGTCCAATTCGCGTAAACAAATGCCTGGTCTGGTCACCATGCTGTACCCGTGCCCCCTCGGCAAACGCGGGCTGGGGATAACAGGGCAGAGCCTGAAGCATGAAAAATCAGCCGTGCCCGGCTTCCGTTGGAAGTCAACATCACCGGAGATTCAGCACCCATTCTAGGTCCTCCAGTGGAGAGGATAGAACAAGGGTACCTTGTTTTTTTTGTAGTCTATTTTAGTAGCTGAACCCTCCCCCAAAAACAGAAGGGGGCGCCATGGGGGGCGGAGTTGTGAAAAGAGCATGTTTTCATACAATTGCTCTAACATATCAATTCTGCATCCGCATTCAACTACCAAATGACATCAATTATGTGTCGCACTCCTTAAGCAAACTTGTCCAATGATCTGCACTCATCAAGCAACCTAGTCAAAAAACCAAAAACCTCGAGTTTAAACAAAAAAAAACTCCAGGCCCGACGGGGGGTGTCTCCAGGATCTGGGGCATGGGGTCTGAGTTTTTTTTTTGAAAAAACCAAAAAAAAGAAAAGGAAAAAAAACGAGATTTCCACAAAAAAAAACTCCAGGCCCCACGGGGGGTGTCTTTAGGATTTGGGGCATGGGGTCTGAGTTGTTTTTTTTTGAAAAACAACAAAACGCGAGTTTTCAAAAAAAAAAAAAAAAAAAAAAACCAGGCCCCACGGGGGGTGTCTCCAGGATCTGGGGCATGGGGTCTGAGTTGTTTGGAAAACTCGAGGTTTTTCTCACTGTTCCAAAACAACAACATAAACTTGAGGTTTCAAAAACAACTCCAGGCCCCAAGATTGTTTTTCTGAAATTCACCCCCAAGTAAGGTCTGGCTAAGCATTCAGCATTCAGCAATCCTTATGAACTCTACTGGATACATTTAGCCAACTATACTCGATTTCTAACTGAAATTGAACATGATGTTATAAGGACATAATCCAATCACAATTGCCATGTTAAATTAGAATTTAAGTAGTGATTATTATATTTCAATAGTAGTGATTATTCTATTTCAATTTAAATGTTACACAGGATGTCATGTCCAATAGACTTGTATTTACACATCAGTGAGCATTTAAACACAATGTTCAACAAAAAATCAACATGGCTCTGAGTTATTTCCTTATGACATATTAGTATTTGATAGATTTATCAAATTATACTAACATTTTACTAGGGAAATATTGAGAAAATACTTGGGGCGGGAGTGCTGAGGGAACCCTAGGGGTAAGAAAATACTAAAGGAATAGGGGAATGGGAACACTGGTGCATTCTCAGGGAATAGAAGGGAATACTACCGGAGTAGTACCAACAGAATACAGTGACAATACTAAAGGAATACTAGGGAAACGCCAAGGGGATAATAGGGAAATACTAGGGGAATGCAAAGGGGAATGCTGGAGCATACTAGGGGAATACTGGGATAACACTAGGGGTATATCAAGAAAATACTAAGGACTACGTACTAGGGCAATATTAGGGAAATACTAGGAGAATACTAGGGAAGTACAGCGGGAATACTAAGGGTAAGAGAATACTCAAGGAATAGGGAAATGCTAAAGGAATACTAAGGGGAACGAAAATACAAAGGAAGCATCAAGGGAATACCAGGGAAGTACTAGGGGTGAACGCTAGGAAACTGAGGGAACCCTAGGGGTAAGAGTGCTAGGATCATACTAGGGATAGGGGAATACTGGGAGAAAACTAGGGGTATACCAAGAAAATACTAAGGAATAGTAAGGCAATATTAGGGGAATACTAGGAGAATACTGGGGAACTACTGAGGGATTACTAAGGGTAAGAGAAAGTCTAAAGGAATATGGGAATGTTGAAGGAATACTAAATGGAATACTAAGGACGTCTGAAGGGAATACTAAGGGAAGTACTAAGGGTGAATGCTAGGAAAGCAGTAGGATAATACTGAGAGAATACTTGAGGAATATTAAGGGGATACTGAGCGAACATGACGGGAATACTAGAGGGTATGCCAAGAGAATACTAGGGAATACCGAGGGGATAACAGGGACTACTAGGGGAATGCTAGGGGAATACTAGGGGAATACTAAGGGTGAATACTAGGAGAATACTAGGGAATTACTAAGAAGGGGAATACTGAGGGACTACTAGGGGAACACTGAGGGAATACTAGAGGGAGTACCAAGAAACTACTAAGAGAATACTCACCCTATGACCGATCTGGACAGGTCAAAACAAGCCTCAATGCAGCCTGCTTCATATGATCATGCTTGAAACACCAAAAAATGACACGTTTACACAGTTTCATAACTCCCCCCCTCGCGCCCCGCTCTCCCCAAAACAGGGTAAAAGGGCACGACTTCTGGAAAACCTAGCATTTGTTTTAGCAAATAGCAGCTTCATTGAGGCTACCAATGTCACGATCAAACACTCCCCCTGCCACCAATGCCTCTCTGAGTGCAGGACTCAAAACGATCTTGACGGATTACTTACAGTGCGTCATGTCGGGGACATCTTTTGACCTAGGTCCTCCAGTAGAGATGTTAGAATAAGCGTACCCGATTCTTTTTCTGTAGTCTTTTGTAGTAGGGGAACCCTCCCAACCAAAAAAGGAACGGCTAAAAAGGGCACGACTACTGGGGGACCTTTTTTTAGGAACCACCGCCTTGCCGCCAGATTGGCGATTGACTGAGCCTGATACTTGCCAAGGCATTCTTCAAGCCCTCCCCACTTCAGGATTCTCTTCAGAAGATAAGCAACGCCCCTCTTGCAAAAAAAACGGTGGTGTCTGAAAACCACTATGCACCGTATGTACAATGGGGAATCAACCGCCAAACTATCTGCCCACGTTCTTGAAGATTGGACATTGGAAAGAACGATTGAAAAGAAGGTACTACCCACGGTACGCCGGGACAAGCCTACTTCGATGTTCAGCCAAGCTAGTAGGTGATTAGCCAACTGGGTTATACCCCACCAATGACAGGGTTAACTCCACTTAGGGGAACCTGTAAGTAGGTTATAACCCAGGTTACCAACTTACTAAATTAGCCGAACACCCAAGTACGGTGGATGCCCTAAATATTGCAACTAGGGGAACAAGGGACCTCCCCAATTTAGTGTAATTTCCAATGGTGTTTGGTGAGTGGGTGTGGTTGGTATATTTAGGGCATCCTAGGGCATCCGTCGTGACGTAGCCCGAGAAAGAAACCAGAAGGTGCGTTTCCCGTTTCCCGCCGAGCCGAAATTCGCCGCAAATCTCCCGTTGGCAAGGCCTTGCCACCAACGCCGTTCATGGATGACCGAATCGCGCAAAATGTCCCGTGCAGCTCGCGCATGTCCTGGAATGAGACATTGCAGATCGGAAGATTTTGAAGGGTGCAACAACATGTCATGCGAACTTGACATCCGGCCCCAAAAAGGCTTTGAAGGCCGTATGAGCCGTATGAGTCTTAGCCATTTATAGCAGAATTCAAAAAAAGAAAAAGCTGCAACCGTCTGGGCAACGATTGCATTTTGTTCCTACATGGGCCCAAACAAGAACGTGATAGCCGAGGCTTCGAAGGATCACGGAATTGGAGACGTTGCTAAGCGCCATTCTCACGATCATGCCATGACCATCATGAATTGCCCACATAAGCCACACCAGCATCACCAAGAGCTTCATCTGTGTATCTCCAGCGTTTTCAGCAACATCCTGCGAACCCTCATCAACCCGACCACCGCCATGCCATTGTCACCAACTTCACCACCACCACCACCACCACCACCACCACCACCACCACCACCAGAACCATCACCACCATCCCCATCACCATCATCACCACCGTCACCACAATCACCACCACTAGCATCATCACCATCTTCACCATAACCACGGTCATCACGACTCATGAGCCCATTACCACCATCACCATCACCACCACCATCACCACCATCACCACCATCACCAGCATCACCACCATCACCACCATCACCACCATCACCACCATCACCACCATCACCACCATCACCACCGTCACGATCACTGCCATCATGCTCATGATCATCTCCCTCATGATCGGATCGTCATTGTCATCACCACAACCGCCGCCGCAGCCACCTCCACCGCCGACACCACCACCATCGTCATCATCGAATCATCGTCATCATCGGTAGCGGCTGGGCGGCGGGGCGGATTTCACAGCTGCACCCGCAGCAGCAGCCGCAGCATCATCAACATCCATATTGCTACTGTGGATGGACGAAATCCATTTCGCGCCACTTTCAAACGATGGGAAACCATTGTTTGCTGGTATTTGCAGGGGGAATCGTATTATTCCCAGGTGGTGCAGGATTTCGTCCATCTACAGTAGGACAACCAAGCTTTAATCGCCTGCAACCGCTCCGATTCCCAGACTTGAGCAAAAATAGCCATCTGCAACGAAAGCACCGATCCCATTCTCAGACTTGAGCTTAAGTAGAGCGAACTTCATGGCCCCCCTGCATCCTGTTGGGCCCGTCGAGGCTTCGCTTCTCCCGAAATCCCCAACTCCCCGTACTCCCCGCGATTTTTTTGTTTGTTTCCGCTGACCGTGGGCTCCTCCACCTCCAGCAGCCCATAGTTCAAGGCTTGGATGGCCTGGACACGATGCTGAGATGTTCTCCGACCCCCCGCTTTCGCGGCGGTCCGGTCGGTTTTCCTGGAAAGACTCAGGTACCTGGAGTCTCCTTCTGACCCTTAAAAAATGGTTGGTCATTACCCAAAGTAATGGGGTCAATGACCCATTTTTAAAGGGTCATGGAGACTCTAGGTAGGCCAATCAAAGTAAACCGGACAACAGGAACACGCCCCGGACAACAGGGGGAGGTTTGCAAAATACGGCTTGCGAGGAAGGCCTCCAAAGCGCCCCCTCGCCCGAACTCCGTGGCATGTCATGCTCCCTGCAAGTGTGACGTCGCAGCAGTCACTGGGCACATCCCAAATCGCAAAGCGATGATGGGATGCGGCAATACGCAGAAGTCATAGAAGGTGACACAGAAGTCACCCTCTGCTTCTGTCACAGAAGTGGTCATTTCCCACAGCCCTGATTTGAAGGGTGGCTTCAACCCAAACGTAGCATGGTCAACACTAGCTGGCCATCAAAATGACCACAACTAAACGAATAGGACAAAACCGCGAGTAAAAAACCACTGGGTTACTGGGACGACCAGCGGATAAGGGAAAACACAAAATGATCGCCTTAGTGGATTTCCTTGGGCAAAGAGCATCCTTTTTTGGTTGGTCGAGTTTAAAAACGATCGAGCCTTCGGATGCACCGCGGTGTGCTTGTGTTGCTCGGTTGGTGGCACAGACTCGAATTGGCCCACGGGCTTTCCCTTTTGGCGCCCCTTTCCGAAGCTCACAAAAGGGTACCCGCTGAGCCAAGAGAGCACGCATGCACCACAAACACCCTGTGCAAAGCGTAAAGAGCAGGTTGCCAGGTACATGATTCGAGATGGCCGGTCTCCACACAGCAGACACATACTCGGTTGCTTTCTGCTCCCCTGCTAAAAGTTAAACTTTTAGTGGTTTAATTCGGAAATCCATTAGTTGGCAAAAAGTTAAAGTCCTCACATCCCTTGGCAACCGAAAAACCCTCTACAATAACTATGGCCACCAATCCCAAGGCTGTGGGGTCACTGCGGTCACAAGCGACCAAAAAAACAGGTCACAAGCGACCCCGCGGCCCAATCCAAACCAATCAAGGGCTACCTGACTTGGGTGTTCGGCTGACGGAAGTTCTTGGTAACCTGGGCTACAACCCACAGGGTCCTGAGTGGAGATAACCCTGACATTGGGTTCTAAGGCGGCAAACAACTTGGCTGAAGATCCAAGTACCCTCCCACCAATTAATGCCTTAATCCAGGTGGCTACCCAAATAACCTTACCTGAACACACCCAGGTGGACAACCCACCTAGCCTTACCTAAACAACCACCGAATTACCTGAACACACCCAGGTGGCTAACCACCTACCTGAACACACCCAGGTGGCTAACCACCTACCTGAACACACCCAGGTGGCTAACCACCTACCTGAACACACCCAGGTGGCTCACCACTTACCTTTTGTCACTCCCACCCGCCGACCCGCCGGCCTTACACTCCTCCTGGAACTCCTCCGCGCGGTGCTCCTTCTCCGACTCCCGCAGCGCGCGGCTGGCGATGCCTCGATTCTCCGCGGAGTCGTTCGGACAACCCGCCAGGCTGCGGATGGGCAAACTCCGTTCCCGCCGCTTTGAAGCCATTGGACCCTAAATTGTTCGTTGGGTGTTTTACAGAATCATCATTCCAGGGTGTTTTGGGGTGGTGCAGGATTTCGTGAATCAGTAGCTAGCCCTTCGCTGTTTGCCGTGTACACGGCAATGGCTTTGGTGCTGACTCTGTGGGGAAACTGACATGCTTCCCCAGCAACGCTCTGAAACGCATTGAATCGCTGACCCGGTTGTCATGCTGAAAATGAACACTGAGCATCTGTGGTGGGCACTTGAGGTACTTAGACCTTCCCCCCCCCAACCCGACGTATTCACAACCAACAACCGTACCCAAATCCCCAAATCCTGGGTGTTATCCAGCAACCCTTGATTGGTGGTTTGGATTGGTGGTTTTGGGATTTGACCCTGGTTTCTTGTACAAGGGGAACCACCCGAGAACCAAACCACCAAACCACCAAACCAGGCTGCAACCCCCAACCAGGAGGAAGCTGAATCTGCTTCTCACGAGGGTTTCTCCCAGTTCGCAGCAATGAACGATCCTGGCGCGACCCAGGTTCAAACACCAAGACAACCACTGGGGCGTCCGGAAGATTCCGCCCCGCGCTTGTGGTCTTCCACTGACCCTACTATATGTTACAGTTTCTGACCTTGCCAGAAACAACTGGTCAAAGGGTCTGGTGGGTTTGCCTTTCAATCCGGGAACCCTCAAAATGGGTAGGTTCCCTTGAATATCTCTTTCAACCACCCTCAAAAAGGCTCCCCTACACAACCACACGGAATTGCAGTCGAGATCTTAGCATGAGCAAACCATGATTGGCTCAAAGCGCTATCAATATGGAATCAACCGCAGTCGATCTGTGGCGTTCGCAGCCACACCCACTCCCATGGTCTTGAGGGAACAAGGGTGGCTAGGTCCTCCAGTAGAGAGGTTAGAATCAGGGCCCCCGTTTTTCTGCGGTCTATTTTAGTAGGGGGAAACCCTCCCCACCCAAAAAAGGGGAGAGAAGGGGCACCGATCGCTGGGGGACCTAGGTGGAAGCTGGAAGTCTGGAAGCTCCAAGACCTGGGGGCTGCTGGCATCGAAAGGCTCCTTGCCCTGGAATTGGTGGGGTATCTGCATGGTGGATCGATCATAATGTTGACCCAGGATTAATAAACCCGTCCCACTATTGGGGGGTGGTCCCTCCAAAAGTGACGAATCCCCACTAAAAGGGGACACCCCCCTATTAATCAACCAGGGGTTTATTAATCCGGGGTTACCATTACAAGGTTCAAAGGGGACGGGCGAAGATTTCCCTTTCACCCTACAGCCTGAGCAAACCCCCCAACACCCACCTCAACGTGTGGGGTCATTGAACGTCTCAACTAAACAGCGGCCTTGAAACGTCCATGACTCCCGACTGACTCTGCTGAGCGGACCAAAGTAAGCAACTGATCAAGATTGCCATGCTTGTTTAGAACCATGGAAGAAAGTGCTTCACAAAGGAATGCACAAGCACACCTATCCATAATGCTGTTGCAAAGCTAGCTACCGGATTCTCTTGCATTGAAACATCCTTCCATTTGAGGAATGGTCAAGCATATATATATATATATATAAACAAATTATAGGTTCAAGCCAGCGTAGAGAAGAGCAAGTAACAAGAGCATTCACTCTGTATCAACTTCGCATGAACAAACCAAACTGGTGAACGCATGGCTCGTTGCAGCTCGTATTTTCTCTTTTTGCTTGAGTGCTTCATGCCTTGAGCGCTTCAGGCCAATACTGCACAAGAACTGGACTTTACATGTCGTGAACCACCAAATCCAAGTTGCTGCATAAACCAAGAAGTGATTTGATGGACGCCTGATGCAACATAGGCTCAACTCCTTAGCGCTTCAGGCTTGACTTCAGGCCATGGGAATTTTGATTGGGGACTCGAAACGGACCTCAAAATTCGGTGGGTCCCGATTCCCGGGTCCCTGCACCCTCAAAAATCCAACTTACAACTTGGTAGCCCCAAACTGCTGGTTGGTGAACTCCCATGTTTACTTGGAAGGGGAGCAAACATTTCATTTTTTAGCCGGTAAGTTGGGATGTCCCACTGAACCACAATAAGCAGGATAAGCAAAAATGTAAAATGGTTCCCAATATTTTTTCAGCTGGAATTTCAGGGTCCAGGTCCACCCAACCACTTCTAAGGTCCATCACAAATCGCCACGCAGCCCCCACGTCCGAGGTCCGGGGTCCGGGGTCCGGGGTCCGGGGTCCGGGGTCCGGGGTCCGGGGTCCGGGCGCAGGAAATCCCGGAAGGTGACATGCGCACCGGCGCCCGCCCTGGGAGAGAGAACAAATGGCAGAAGCCGCGACGGGGCTCACTGGGACGTGTTCTCCTTTAGCTCAAAAGGGACAGTGAAAATCGGCATGTCTCCAAGCCCGAGCAGGAACCCTTACCTTATACTCTACAGGATAAGTCTCTAACAAATCCCCCTAAACCAAACCCAAAACCGGGGGAGGGACCCTCCGGGCTTCTGCTCCTCAGAAACGGCGCTTGCCACGCGTGTTTTTTGCGGAAAGAAGCATCCCATGGGGAAGCTACCCCAAGGCGCTGCTGTATATCTCGATGTGAAATTTGTGTGCCGTGGAAAAACAAAAGAACTTAGACTATTGTAGCGTCACTCCGGACCCTCAAGCGATGTTACCATCAATGGAAATTGCTGCTTTTCCATTGTGCCCGTTGCGTAGTGCAACATGCAGTCCTCGAGCGGCAGCTTCTTCTAAAGGTTAGCCTTACCAAACCACTTTTGAGGTGCACCAGTGCTTGCCCACCCCCCCAAACAAATATATGTATATATGTATGAAATACAGCAGCTTAGACCCCGGATAGCGAAGAACATGCCCACGATGCACACCAGCACCTCTAACAGCACCCCAAAAGAGCGCCCCAAACAATCAATTTCGCAGAAACGCGCCCGCACCATCACCAGCACCTCAAACAGCACCCCAAGCGGCATCCCAAAACAGCACCTGCCACAAGAATCCCCATACTGCATGCCCCGTAGCACCTTACCATCAATCTCGCAAATCACTTTCTCCTCTTATTAGAAGTTAGAACTCCCATAGCTTTCAGCTATCTGAAAAACAAAAAACTGAACAGAGATCATTACATGAAAAACACCTGAGCATTGCAACTTGGCAATGGTGGCAAACCCCTTTGTTTGGGTGTTGAAAAAGCAACATGTTTCAAACGGTGGCAGAACGAATTTCTTTTAAGGAGCCCTGCTGAAAAAGGGTCTTTTGGAGCGGTTGGGTGCCCCTTGGGGGGTTGGTTCAAGGACACACCCAGTTCAAGGCACGCCAAACCGGAAAAAACA